AGGCCGCCCCCGGGCCGTGCGGGGTCTCGCCCTCAGCGGGGCAGCGGTGCCGGGGGTGCGGGGGTGCCGGTGGTGGTTCTTTGGTTTGGTATTTTATTCCACTTCGGCCGCCGAAGTGCTGGCCATTGTTCTGGCTTCCCCAGCCGCCAAAACGCGACCGAATCGCAGACACCAACACGTAATTTTTAATTTATTTATTTATTTTTTTGCCCTGAGATGGTTCGCGCTCCCCGGGGAAAGGTCTGGTGCGTTTCGAGTGCCTGACGTTTCGCGTTTCTGTGTGTGCCAGCAGAAAATCCCTCTATCCTGGAAGAATGGTGAAACTGGGGAATAATTTCAGCGAGAAGAGCACAAAGCAGCCCCTTCTGGAGGATGGGTTTGACACCATCCCCCTGATCACACCCCTGGATGTCAATCAGCTCCAGTTCCCACCTCCTGATAAGGTACAGTGGGCTTGAGTTTCCACCCCGGAGAATCACACCCAAATCTCAGGGAAGCAACAAAAGAATGGGTTACATGTAACAAGCGGCTTAGAAATGTCAAGAAATACGTGGTGTGGGAAGGTGTGCTAGTCCCTTGGGGAAAAATACTAACAGCTAAGCAATGAAAATCCTGTGGTAGTGATTTGCATTAAAAAGCAGTAGAAATTGTTAGCAGTAGCCATATATAGATTTCTGTGCCGCTGTATGAAATTACATATAAATGCAAGCTTCTCTACTCTGTGTTGTCATAGCCCTTCCTATTGTGTATCTTTCCTTGCTGTATCTGGAAGGTATGGTGTGCTGACACTCATTTTCTCTGTCCAGAAAAAGACCCCCTAACAGGAGAATAAAGCACTGCTTTATGTCTCTGCAAGATGTACACGGGCAGACTGACCACAGAGAAAGAGCTTCAGTGCTCCTTATGTAGGAAATTAGTGCTAGTCCCAGCTGAAATAAGGAAACAAGAACAGCCCACCGAGTTTTCTCCTTGGCCACTTACTTGGTTCATAACCCTCCAGATAGGTGATTCAGATGCTCTGTGTGTGGAAGGGGGCAGTCCAGGGTGCTGGTCACAGTTTGGAATGAAAATGTGCATCCTGGATTTCTCATTACATGACTTGATTACTAATGATTAAGTTTTAAGGATTTAGGAAGTTGATGTCATGGCCTGTAAATATGTTTATGCTCACAGTAAGGAATTTGGTTAAGTGTTATTGCAGGTAAAGCATAATTAGCAGCAGGATGCTTTTTCAGATATTTTAGTATTCTGAGTACCCTATTTCAGTGGGATACTTACTTGCATGTTTCTCACATATGCATTTGGCAAAAAAAGCTTTGTGGTCTTTGAAGAATGCAACATTTAACTGGGAAAGGGTGTGATATCTTCATGCCGATTTTTATTTTTGGCATTGTGTCCTCTGTGAGCTCAGTTCTACTTGCAGGTAAACTGACAGTTGTACATTCCTCATAGCTCAAAACAGATCACATAATCTTATCCTGAGGTAAAGAATTTTAGCTTGTGAGATTTGCCTAGGCAGAGTGTTGCCTGTGGGCATTGCAAATAAATGTGTGACCTCCCATTTTAATCGCTTTCAGCATCGTTCTGTGTTGTGTGGTGACCAGTTGGCAGGCATAGATGCAGTAAGCCATAACAGCTGTTAGAGCCTGGAAGGTTTGTTTTCTACCCTTGGTTACATGGGTGTAAGTCTTGTAATTGAGAACACAATTGCACCCTAAGGCTTTAAAACGAGTTAAGTCTTACTGTGTCTGATAGACCTACCAGCTGGTGACTGGATATAACCGATTATCAATGTCCAGAAGAATTTTTTACAGCACTGCAAAGCAGAAGTCTGAACGAGGGATCTGTATAGGTTACAGGTTTAACTGGAGTGGAGCCTCTAGTGAACCCAGGAGGTTCTGTGTCAGCCTGACTGCAAATATCAGAATGGGGCAGAATTCCCCTCACCTTCATTACATTTGCCTTCAACAAAAATAAATGTACAACTAGACTAGAAGCTTAAATAAAGGAATATTTGATTGGATTTTCTACTCTTTCCACTGGCTATTTGTATATTAGTTTTCCTGTCCTTTTGTGAACGTAGAGAGGAAGAAAAAAACAACTTGTGTATATTGATCTTGCTGACTTCTGTAACTGCCTGGTTAGTCATATCAGTGTGTCTTTGTTGGTTGCTGCAGACTTGGTGGCAGTAGTAGAGCTACTGATGTGAAGAAAAGAAAGAGTATTAAGTCAAGACTGACACACAGATCAAATTCTGAAGTACAAAGACACTCATGTATAATTAATAGGAGCACATGCTTCATATATCTATGCTTATTCACTTACAAGGCTCCAGTATGGCAGTGAAGCATAACTTCTTGTACAGTAGTGACTACAGCTCTAAGGATTTGATGATTTTGACAGCTTCTAAATTAAAAGGATGAACTGATTTAAATTCATATTTAGGTATGTTAAACAAAAGAAGATATTACATAACCAAGCAGATAGAACTGTATGTTCAGTATCAGCTGAATGTGATCTGAGTTGCATGAGATTATGCAACATAAAGGGGGAGGAAGGGAAGTAAAATGTCAAAAAGCACTCAAAAAATCTTGTGCTTACTTCCATGATGCTGTTGGGCAGTTGTACAGTTAAATAGTTAATAATTATTTATCTTATTAATTGTAGCTGAATATTGGTAAAGTAGTTTCTAAACCTAGGTCCTGCAGATATATGTGTAAAGCTGAACAAGTTTCTAATAAGATTTGTGGTACTGAGTCTGGGTACAGTTACACATCTAGATACCATTTCAGGGAATTAAGGAGAGGGAAACCTAAAGCTTTAATTTCAGTCCCTGACTATCTGTATCATACAATGGTTTGGAAGGGACTGTAAAGATCATCTAGTTCCAACCTTCCTGCATGGGCAGGGACCCCACCCACTAGACCAGGTTGCTCAAAGCCCCATTTAATCTGGCCTTGAAAATGTCACAATCTTAATTTCCGAATAATGTAGTTGCTATTACCACTGGCTGCTCTAAGGATAGAATCTGGTTCTAAAAATCTGGAAGAGTCTAGATATTTTTTCTTTGGACCAACAGAGAAAATTGAACAAATAGTGCTGTCAGTACAATAAACTGCAGTCTGTCTTGAGAGTGGTACTTTGAAAAAGAGCCTAAAATTGTGGAAAACACAAACGAGGCAAATAGGTTAGGTATGTGAAAATTTTGTACAATTAGAATGCTTAGGGGAGCACCAGATAGGACTGAAGTTACGGGTATTTCAGGAATAGAAGTAAGGTGCTAATTTGTGTAGCTTGGGGCAATGGCTCATAGCAAGGAATAAACTGAAGAGCCTTGGGCGTTTCAAGAAATCTCATTAACACAAAGGTTTGTGTGCATCTTGCTGCTTGCAGCTGGTAATTCAAAAGTTTTATGTTAAAAATAAGTGTCCAGAGTCTAGCACCTCGTAAATAGCAATTAGATGGGTCATTTAACTTCTTTTAAACTCAAAATCCTGCCATCAAAGAACACTTCAATGATAGTCTCATCCTATTGGTCTCCAGTTTTAAATTCCATTAGTGGGATCTCCTGAAGTGAAGTGAGGTGGCTATTTTCAAACTATACAAGGAGGAAAGTGGGGAAGGGCTTTGTGATTGAACTGTGTAGATGCTTGCCTAGTACAGCAGCATAGTACCACCACAGCTGAAAAAAATAGAGGTCTGTGAAACCATTCCATTCCAAGTCTTCCTGTAGGTCCACCAAAACTGCTTTGAGAGATAATTTTGTTGATGATTGCTATAAAAGGAAAAATAACTAAAAGCTTGTGGCTTTAAAAGAAGAATTATACAAAGTGGGGGGTGGAAATTGTGCTAAATGTGCTTGTAAGCACATAAAGAAGAGTTAATGTATAAATGAGATTGCTGTGGCAAGTTTCAGCTGACAGTTTTTTTATTTTTTATTTTTGTTTAAAGGTTGTGGTCAAAACGAAAACAGAGTATGAACCTGATCGCAAGAAGGGAAAGTTCCGTACTCCTAAAATAGCTGAATTCACAATCAGCATCACTGAAGGGGTTTCAGAAAGATTTAAGGTAAGCAGTGCTATCTGAAGAGGGTAATGAGTTATTTGTGCCCATGGAAGTGCTTAAAATCCATTGCCAATAGTTGTTGATACTGGCTGTAACTAAAAGAATGGCTGTTGTGGCTGTGGATGAAGATGAGAAAAGTAAAGTAGTTTGGTATTTAGCAATTGGAAGCAAAAGCAAATCTGGCAGCATGAATGCTTGTAGTCCTTCTCTGGCAGATGAATTCAGAAGGCCTTTCTGTCAGTGTGCGGGTTTCAAAACATAGCTGGCCCAGATCTGTGTGGGCTGCATGCAGGTATCTGTCCTGGCATGGATAAAGCTCCTGTTACTGTTGAAGGACAAGAACCTCAAGAGTATTTGTTTTCTCTTTGGTTTACTATTTTTCACTGTGGCCAAACCATTCTCTTAAAAGCACTGTCATAGTCTATTATGTATTTTTTTTATAGTTTAATGTATGACTTGGCAGCTCAGGGATGTATACCAGAGCTCTTTGCTATCAGTTTTCCTGGTCCGATTGTATCTTACAGCTTGGCAACAACTGTAACTGGCAGATGGCAGTTCAGCAAGAATCTGACTCAGATTTACTCTTTAGTGCCCACATCCCTATTACTCCCTTTAGTAGTCCCAGAGAAGAGTTGAGAGCTAGTGGTGCAAGGACTGCATTACTTTTCCCCCTTGTCACTGGAGGATGGTAGGTTTTCTTGCTCCGTTAAGTAAAGCAAAGCAGGAAAGTTGGTACTTAAGCTTATGCTTTCCTACCTGTTCTCTTAGCAAATGAAGACTACAGCTTTTCAGTGCTGTTAAGTTGGCATCTTGCCAAAGGATGCCCAAGTGCTTTTAAACAGTGGGCAACCACACTGCTCAGTGCACAAGTGTGTTTGGAAAGCCTCATGTTTAGTATGAGGGAAAAATAAAGGGTTTCAGTAAAACTGGGGTTCTCTTAATGTTGCACACTTCTAACCTCTGTTTGCATGATAGGAGCTTTAAGGTACACCCAAAGCTTCTAGTTCTGGAATTTGAAGAATAAAACACAGAAGCTGTGTCTGTCCAGTGGTTCTAAAAGCTGCTCAGGCCCAAGTCCACCTTCAGAAGGATATATATCTCTGTGGAACTGGGTCATGCTAAACAAATGAAGTGAAGGCTCAAGGGGGGCTTAGATGCTTTAGGCTGCATTTACAAAGGAACTCTGCAGGGTGTGTCCAGGACAGATGTTTTAAGTGCAGGTCACCTGGTGGAGTCTTCAGACACACAGCGAAGCAGGTAGGTTCCCAGGAAGCTGTTTGGGGAACCATCCCAGATAGCTAGGAGATATTATGGGGTCTGACAGGGATTTACTAAGGAGTTAAGAAAACTAGTTCCAGTTTTTCAGTTCCCTGATTTGGAGTAAGGACATCCTATCCCTCAGGGAAAATGCTACATTCTGACTAACATTCTTTCTCCTCCTGGCACCTTAATACCAGTCCTTGAGAGTAATCCCCTTCCTCTCAGGTGAGGGTTGTGCACACTGTTTTCTGGGGTAAGATGCAGATAGCTCAGAACAAGGAGGCCTTAAGTCTGGCTGACTCTTGTCTGTGTCATGGTCACATTAAGGTGATCTGAATACACTACATTGTAGAAGAGAAAGGGGACAAAGTGTTTAGTTTTGAGTACCCTGCTAGGATTTTGGTTGCAAGCAACTGAGCAGAACCTATAGCTGAGGGAGGAGTTTTGGACTTCTCCACTAGCTGTAGGGATTAAGGGATTTCATCACTTGAACATTAAATTGCAGATAAGGAAGGGTTTTTAATATCTTAGTTGCATCTAAACATTTTGCATATCTCTCTGTAGATCTGGGTTCTTTCTCTCTCCTTTGCGAGAGCTGAACAAGTGAGACCTTGCTGAACAAGAAATTAATAGCTCCTTGTGCTGTTAGGTAGTATTTTCTAATTTGCATATCTGAACAGTTAGAAGCCAGAGCGTTTTTGCATTACATTTTTATATACCTTTGGATGGCATACTTAAATAAAATGTCTTTTAGATATTACTTTATGAGGATCACTCTGGGATTAATCTCATACTACAGGGTTGCTAGGTTTTGCTGCTAGGTAACTACTGCAGCAGAGAGAGAATTCACTAAGATTTGGTATCTCTTGGGAAAGAAAGGGTGATTCACACTGTGGCTGTGAGTCTAGGTTTCTAAAGAAGAGTGTGGGGGTAGATCAATTAGGAAAATTGTGGTTCAGTTAATTGAAAACAATAGTTTCATGCGGAACATTCAGGTCCTAAAAATGATCCTTTTAGAATTGAATTATGCTGCTTGCAACATTTTAAAGAGAACTGACTGGTTCTCCAGTAGGGATGATTGTCTCATTCACCACTCCCAGTAGTAAATATTACATGAATGATTGATGAAATTTCATAAATATGTAGATGAAAAGTACCAATTGTGTGAGGTTTTCTCCTGGGTCCTTATTAATTGTGAACCATCACGTTAACTGCTGCTGTTGATTCTGAGGGAGCAAAAGGATATTTGTTGGAAAATTAAATATTTGCTATAATTATGAAATGCATTATTTAACTGGTAGGATATTTACTTTGGCTTGTGTTGAAGAAAAAAAGCTTCAGAAGCTGTTTTAATGACTGGAATATTGTACATCACTGGTGCATAAGCTTGCCACAAGACATGGCTCAAATGTTGTGCTAAAAATAAGTCACTTGTATTTACAAATAATTCACATGTGTATTCTAAGATGTACTCCTTAAATAAGGACAAAGCAGATTGCATTTTTAAGATTCAGCCGTGCAGATCATCTAAAGCTGTTCTTGAGAAATTATACATTATAACAAATGAAGCAACTCCAGCATGTGCATGTCATGTAGATAATTTGGTATTTTAGCAGCTGGGTGAATAAGAATTTTAAAATGTATTTTCTGCATTCAATCCACATTACCACAGTTATTACAACAGAGCTGAGAATGTTTACAAAGAAGAAGGCAAGTATAATTTTGCTGTATGAATCCATATTCTGAATTCAAATCAGAATCTGAAGAATGTGAAGACTTCCTGATTCTGAGAACCCTGCTGTTTTAATTTGTTTCTATGGCACTAACCACACCAAGGAAGATGTGATTTATTTTTTTTTTCACTGAAGTTGATTTTTGATTGAGAAATAGAAATCTTGATTTTGTTTTTTGAACAGTGTAGGCTAATGTGGGAAGTTGATCCTTCACATCTGGAAAGCATCTTTTAATAAGGCAGATTTTTCTCTCCTTTAAACTGTTTGCTGTACAGAATAGCACAAGGCTGGAAATGTAATTTCAAAGTAGTCTTATAAATCAGGACATAGGAGGAAGCTGTTGTAGGAGAAAATTGATGGTATCAGTTATCTGAGGCAAAACCTTTGCCTCCTCCTTTGACAGAGCGGCATTTTTACAAACTCCAGTTGGATTTGGTAGTGGGATGTCTGTTCTGCCACCTGTTAAATTGGGCTACAGTTGACAACTGTACACAAACCCATCGATTTCAAAAATTTTCTGGTGTTTCAAAGCATTAGATTTTTTTTTTTCCTGTCTTTGGGTAAACCTAAATAAAGAACATGGAGGAGTATTTTGACAGCAAACACTTATGTTTCCCTATAAATTTCAAGCCCTTAAGCCCAAGCTGTGGTATACCTTAAACCATTTGATTCCATTCAAAGGCAGTTCAGTTCTTCAGATGTTATTCTTGACATCTGTACATAAATCTAACTACAGAGACAAAGCCTCAAGATTCTTTCTGTGGTAAGACCATGTGGTGCAAGCCATGTACAATCAAGTAGCAAGCAGTTGTTGAAATGTTTACATGAGGTTATGAAAGAGGAATTTAGACTTCCTTTCAGAATCAGCTCTCTCAGCTTTATCTGCTCATTTTAAGACTGAAAAAACTGTACGCAAGGTGTATTTAAATATTCCATTTTTTATCTGTCTTAAAGAGGCATCCTTTAAAACAAATCTCTGTCTCAAGACTTTTACCTCTTCTTAGTAACACCCATGACTACTATTGCTGCAAAGATAACCAGAGATAAGGAAAATATTTTGGTTTCTGTGTGGTTATTCTGTGTGTTGGGTAGGTCTTTGCTCCCACCTAAAGAGTCTGTTAGGTGCATGGGCTGATTCCCATACAGGATATCTCTTCCTTAAATCTATTCTGGCTGTCACTTAGTGCTGGAAGGGTGACAGGTACTTATGGCCATGAGTAGTTCTGTTTTCTTCAGTAGAACTACTCACAGGATTAAAGTTGCTCACAAGTATAAGCATTTGGCAGGCTTTGAGTTTTTCCACTATTACTTCAAGCAAGAAAAATAAAGGAGATTGTAACTGTCATTGTAAAACAATTGATGTAAGTAAAAGCACTGCATGGCTGTCATTTTACTATGGGTTTGGTTTTTTACTGTTTGATAATTCTCTGATACAACATTGACAGTCCTGCTAAATTTTTGGCTAAAAGGAATATTTTTACAGTCAGAGCTGGAAGATTCAAATAAAGTGAATGCCTAACAGCAGATCCCCTGCTCCAAGTCAGGTGTCCTCTCCCATCGTACCCATTTAAAATCCTTTTCTTGGAGTAGAACCAGAGACACTGGTGAGACAGATGTTTTGGCTCTATCTAGATGTAAAACCTACATAGCCTTTCCTCTTCTGTAGTAACTTTCTCTAGCCTTACTCCTGGCCTCAGTAGTACCTTCTTGATTTTTTTATGGGAAGGTAACAAGATTCTTATCTCAGGGCCATGGGGTTTTTTTAACTGCTTCCTTGGGTCTCTGTAGTTAAGAAACTAATACATGGTGCTGTGTGATGGAAGATGATGGGAACACTGTTGTGAACAGCAGTGTTAAGCTACACGGCTAGACTCTGAAGGACACTGCCTCGTTAACATGTTTTTGTCTAGCAGTGTCTCCCTCAGGTTTCATTAATCTTACCTTGCAGGCTGGTTGTGTTGTTTTGCACTGTTGCTGTTAATAAGCTGTGGGTCTGTAGCTTTTCAGTTA